CTATCCATTGTTTTATGAAATCCCATGGCCTTAATGAAAATCATAACCCCCCTGCCATAATGTAGGCCTAGTAACACCATTCAAAATTATGCTCCAAAATATTGGAGTCTGTCTAGTGTTTTATGAATTCCCATTCTAGTCAATCAAAGTATGATTTCATGGACTCAACATTGAACTACATTTACCCGCCTTTTCACCCAAGCAAATTTCCCAGAGTTTTATGCAGACTAAGGATCCATTCAACAATCTTTTTGATAATATATGTGAACAAATAATAGCTATAGTCCAACCATTTCCGGAATTTCAAGGGTGGGATTGGGTAATGTAATCCCGCTTGAATATTTTCCTTTTCATGTGTGCACCGAATCATTAAGAAATCACATATTCCTGCATAACATCATTGTGCATGGGTTTGATTATTCTCATTGTTTTCTTTTCTACATTAATATATTTTTCCTTTTTTTTGGCATTTCAGTGCTTGCACGATTTCACAAGCATAATTGGTTGATCTTATGAGTGTTTGTGATTTCAATGATATGTTATGTTTTGAAGGTGAGAAGGGAGTTGGAGTATCTACTGGAAAACCTCTGCACTACAAAGGATGCTTATTTCACCGTGTAATAAAAGGGTTTATGGCACAAGTATGTTCTCTCTCTCTTTGATATTTGTATTCTTTATCCTTTGAGAATAAGCAATGTAGGAATGGATGTGCCTTTATATTTATTTTACCTAAGCTTGGGTCTCATAGGAAGAGCAATTGTATCCTCCAGCTTGATATGTGATAATTCCGGAATATGGGTTTGAAGTTCACGAGTTTTCTTTTTTCTGCATAGACAAAATTATACTCTTAATTCATACAGCCCCATCTTACTGGTCCTCCAATATCATGAGTAAAATCTTTTTGAGCTTCTCTCCTAATGTATGGGATTAAGAAGGGATTGCTTTACAGATTTTATGGATCTCTTGTGAAGCAGTGTAGATCTATATCTGTTGTACTTGTCATTTATTTCAAGTGAGAAATTGATTGTATAGGGGTGAATATCAGCTGATTGACTTCATGAGCTGTTTGGGCTTGGTTTGATGACTATAATTGTCATTTAAAAATATAGCCTTTTTTGCCTTTTTGTTTCTTCCGCAATCTACATAAGGCTTCTAGATTTTCCCCTTTAGTCCATATATTGGGGATACTTCATCAGTCCCATGACCTCTTTCTGTTTTCTACAGGGTGGTGATTTCTCCAAAGGGAATGGTATGCTTTTCTTCTTCTGGGCCCTGACTGTCAATTGGTGCAGAGGATCTTTAACTTCAACTTCTTGCCCAGACAAGTAAGGCACGAACTTTTAATGTTTTGCAGGCACTGGTGGAGAGAGTATATATGGAGGGAAATTTCCAGGTAGATTAGTATATATGTTTTCAATGGTGAATAAGTGGTAATATGATTGATGCTGATGGTAATTTTTTTCTCCATTAGATGAAAACTTCAAAGTTGCCCACACTGAAGCTGGTCTTCTCTCGATGGCAAATAGTGGTCCTAATACAAATGGATCCCAGTTCTTCATTATATTTAAGAGAACTCCCCATCTCGACGGGTATATATCTGATATATATGAGTGCACATTAGTTTCAACCATGTTTTGTCTTTCACTAAGAAACAGTGTGTCAATACCTAATTCCTATCATGAAGCATCTACATTTCTGTTGCAGGAAGCATGTTGTTTTTGGGAAAGTTGTAAAGGGAATGGATTTAGTGAAGAAAATTGAACAGCTGGGAACAGACAGTGGGAAGCCATCTGGGCTTGTGAAAATTGTGGATTGTGGCGAAATGTCTGAGAAGAAAAGTAATGATACATCCAAAGCAGAGAAAGGTGATTTTCTCTCTCTAAGACTAAGATGTCCTACTCTGCTGCAGTGTTACTGCCTTATCTATAAGAGATTGTTGTGTGGTCTTGTTTCTGTTATTCATTCATATATTTTTTGCCTCGCCTCCAGGGAAAAATAAGAAGTCCGCGAGAGCTCTTTCCTCTGATGATGATTCAGACAGTCAAGAAAAGGGGAAACGCAAATCATCCACCAATAGAAAGAAAAAGAAAAAGAGGAGATACTCTTCATCTGATTCTTACAGTTCTGAGACAGATACTGATTCCTCTTCAGACTCTGACTCAGATTCTAAGCTGGACTCCTATTCTTCTAGTTCTTCAGGTGATGAAAGGCGTAAGAAGAGGAAGAGGTCAACTAAGAAAGAAAGCAGTCGACATGGGAAGAAAAAAGGCAGAAAGAGCACGAGTAGAAAAGTTCATCGAAATAAAAGATCGAGACGCAAGCGGTATCATTAACTGTTGGCCCTTATCTGTGTTATTAAGCTGTACTTGATTGCTGGTTCAGTAGATTTATTTTGTTTTCATTGCATTCAGGAGCTCTGAGAGTTCTAGTGACACAGACAGTCAGAGCATGAGCAGCAGCAGTGATAGCTCCGATGATGAAAATGGCAGGCCCAATATTTCTGCACAAAAAGGTCACTTCTAGTTTATTCATGGAGGTGGAAAAACATGAATTATAAGCAGATTTACCAATTTATTCGTTGATCTTATGTTACAGGTTTGGTGAAGAAATCATCAAACCCTGTCAAAGAACAAGCTGTTTTGAAGCAGCAACAGAATCTTGAAGAGGGTGAAATATCTAAGAACGGTAAGCTTCCAAATAATGGTCATGGTGGAGATGTACAAACTGACAGGACTCTCGCCACAAATCATCAATCTGACAATTCGGGCAGATCCAGGTTCCTTCCTTAGCTTTACTGAATGATTTATGATGTGGCACTTGTTTTTGTGGCTGCTCATATTAGTTACATATCTTCACTAAGTGGATTCTTTCTCTTTGCATGATAAACAGGAGCGCAACACCAAGTCCTAAGGGAAAGCCAAGACCCAGCCGCAGGAGCAGTCAAAGTATGAGCCCAGAAAAAGTACCTGCTAGACTTGGTCAAAATGGTGGAAGTCTTCAAATTGAATCAAAGGAGAAAAGTCTTTCAAAAAGTCCTTCACCAAAAGCTACTCAGCCATCTCGCTCTAGTCCTGGCAGGGATTTATCCAGAAACCGTTCTCCAGATGGAACTTTAAAACGAGTCCGTAAAGGCCGTGGCTTCACTGATCGTTATTCATTTGCAAGACGCTATCGCACCCCATCTCCTGAGCGTTCATCCTATAGGCCTTATAACCAGGGTGGGAGAAATTTTCAGGGGAATCGTGATAGGTAAAAGCGAGTTCAAAAGTAGAAATGTCTGTGAGAGGGGCAAGTCTGTTGTGCATGCTAAAATACACTGTTATCTTTTTAGGTACTCAAGCTATAGAAGCTATTCTGGTCGCTCTCCACAGGGACGGTACAGACGGTCACCAAGAGGCAGAAGTCCCCCCAGGTTTTCCTCCTGAGTCCCTGCCTATTGGTTTTTTTGTTCTGAACGTCTCTTCATACGTCCAAAGTTTCAGTGCTTCGATATATTCTGTCTATGATATCTGAGTTTTGATAGACTCTTTTGGCTCTTTTAGGATTATAAGCATGTAATCTGAGTTTTGGTACTCTTTTGGCTCTTTTAGGATAATAAGCATGTAAAAATGACTTCACATCCCTTAACCCCCTTTTCGTTTTCTTTGTTCATTAGATACCAGCGCAGGAGTCGGAGTAGGAGTGTTTCTCACAGCCCTAGGCGTGAGAGTCGTCGAAGTAGGAGCCCTTCACGCAGTCCTTCCCCCAGAGAAAAGCGGCAGACAATCAGTGACAGATTGAAGTCTCGTCTTGGGCCTCGTGTGGATGATCAGCATTCTATTCCGACTAGGAGGTCAGCCTCAAGATCTAGAAGCCGCGACTCTACGACTCCTCGATCTCCTGCTGCTGCTCCAAGGAAGCACAGTGGGAAAGTAGGATCTGCGTCACCTAATAGTTCGAGATCAACCTCCCCACCTCGACAGAGGGGTCTAGTCTCATATGAGGATATCAGTCCTACCGGGACAAACTAATCTGTGTACCCTTCATGCTCATATATGAGTGACTAAATTTGCAGAAAACTTATGGCCTAGGTTTAAACCTTGTTTCATCAGATGTTGCTTAGCTGGGATTGCCAACTCAATTTTATCATTTTGTGTTTCAGTAAACTAGCAGTTCGACATTGAATGTTTTACTTATGGAAAAAGGGGTCTTATTTACCCTCATGTTTTGACAAGATTTCTCAGGAGTTAATTCGGGTTACATATCAACCTAATTTTTAATTTTTAATGAGTTGAAATGGGTTGAGCTAATGAATGTGCGGGTCAATAATCTGCTCAAATTCAAATGGGTTGGGCGGGTTGAATGGATTGGGTCTGATTTTGCCACCCCTAGTTCAGATATCGATTTGGTGTTGGGTTCATATACTAAGTTTTGAACATAAGAAATCATAAATTCTCAATCATTTCTGTTGATCACTAGATCATATGTGACATTTGATGACCCTTGAACTTAGTTATTTGATGAAAGAGCTAGCCAGAAAGGATAATAATGTGATTATTTAACACATGCGTACTCGGAAAGAGAGATGCAAAGAAACGACAACGGTAACGCTTCACCTATCTTGTTAGGAATAGGGTAGGTGCGTACGATCCCGTAAATTGGATCGTGACGGTTGATATTAGAGCCATAAGTTGATATTAGAGCCCTAGGTTGATATTAGAGCCCTAGGTATCGTGACGGTTGATATTAGTGCCCTAAGTTACCGATCAGTACAAGAGCAATATCGAGTTTTTTGCATTTGTTAGGTTAGCTCTTTGAAATCTTATACACATGTCTCTAGTAATAGATGGATAAATTAATCAAATTTTATGGATAAAAGTATAGTTACACAAGTAAATATGGTACAAGCAACATTTGCAATATGTCAAAAAGAAAAATTCTAAGTTATATGGCATAAGCAACATTTTACAAGTGACCTTTTTTTCCTCTATAAGGATTGTATGGGGTATATTATACAGATCACTCTCTAATACTTCTCAATATTTATGTAAAGTATATAAGTTATAATAACATATATAAACATGGTACTATTTTGAAGATATGGGAAGGATTTACCGCAAAACAAATAGTAGGAGCATTATAGGGAGTAACAAACTCACCAGGTTCAGATAATAAAAGTTGGAAGTCATCTAAAAAGAGCTATAGGAAAGGAGTACAGTCTACATTTGGAAAATTATATCGACTGAAGTCGAGACCAAGCTAAGGTGTCATTTGCGGAAAACTCTAGGCATACAATTGAAATGCAGAACTGCGCTAACCAGAACCAGATGCAACGGTAGAAGGATCAGCCAGTAATTAGTAAGTTGCTTGGTCTCTCACAGAGGTTCGCCTTTAGGAACAACCTGATCTTTAATCCACATGTAAATAGGAACCAAAACATAGTATGTTGCTGCCGTTGCACCCAGAAGGAACCGCAGCATAAAGACAAATGGATTTATAGGTTTTGTCACGTCTTCTGCTTTTGGGCCAAGCTGCGATATTGCATACAACAAGGTAAATATAAGAGAGTGAACGAACTTGTAAAAACACTTTTTACCAACTATAAATAGAAAAAGAGTCCAAGAACATGCTCTAGAATCCAGTGAGATAAGAGGAGATGCAGGAAAAGCCTAGCATCATAACATCCATTCAAAGTTCACTCCAAGGCAACCAATTAGAACTTGTAAATGGTGAACATATAGCTATTTGTTTAAGTCATGATGTTAGCTAGATCATCATCAGAAACGAAACTAGAATTTTGAGTTTATATAAAAGACATCTTATTGGGTTGGATTCTAGATAAATTATTTATACATGTTAAGTGAATTCTTAAACACAAATACAAGGTATTGGCCAAAGCTAATACTGTGTTCTGTTGAACCCATAGACAGGCTTGTAGCTCCGTCCCTATCATCATCCCTTCTCTAAACGTATATTCCATCAAACTTCTTTCTTCAGCAGACTTCAGTTAATTGCTGAGAAGTTAAAGGTGCATTCTAACATTTTACGGCGATATAATATGCTTGAGAAAATTCGGTTCCCTCATATATCATGGGGAACACAACGATAAACTTTATCAAGACGTTACAGACTGCTCACCCGAACAACTACCCCTCTCCCCAATAGAAGAAACAAGACAAAAAATACAATGTTAACAAAACCATCAGATCAGAAAAAAGTACATTATGTACTCCTGAATAAGTAATTTTGTTTAAGAGCATTGATTGAGGTACATGGGAAATTACCTGCAGTGGTGAATCCCCTGGTGTAGACTTAACACCAGTAACAGAACATCCCATGATAAGCCCATGCCTTCGAACTCCACGATACCATTTTGGGCCAATCTTCTTCAGTTGGACGTCCGTGAATCCTGCCTTCTCAAACCACTCTATGTATTCTTCCTCCTTAGGGAAGAGCATCCACACATCAGCAAAGAAACGAGACAACCAAAAGGTAGGGTGCACAGGACCGATTAAGCACGCCTTTCCTCCAGGTTTCAGAACCCTGTATGCCTCTCGGATTCCACGTTGTGGGTCCGGCCAGTATTCAATACTGAGAGGAAAAAGGTGATCAAGGAACTTTATTATGATGAATTCCAGAAAATCTTTTTTGCTTTTTCAATTAAAGAATGAAAATATCAAACTCAAATCAATGCACCTATCTACTGCCAAAAATATGTACTTATTAGTTCTGTGTAGAGTATCCATACAAATTATCCATGACTTATGAATACTACCTTACATATTGTCAATGTAGATTTTTCTCATATTCTTTCACATGCATAGAGCTTTCCAACAGTTTATACCATCCAAAACAGGTCAAGAGGGGCAGAGAAGCACAAACCGCACTTGAAAATGTCCATTACTCCTTCAAAAATCATCTAAGAATCAATCTTGTTCAACCATTTGGAAAATTAACATACAAGGACTGAACTTTGAGTCCAAATACCTGCAGATTCAAAATTAGCGGTACTCACTAAGGCTAATGCTACTGCTAAAACCATTCTATCAGATTAAGTTAGCTATAGCATCCAAAACCCCAAATGCAATCTACTACTCCCTCCATTTCAATTTAATTTCAATTTTCCACTTCACGTTTAAGGCCACAAATGTAAACACATTTTGGTACATTCTACGTATCTTTAGTTTAAGACCACAGTATTCAAAAGTCTTGTCAAAACCAGACAAACAAATTGAAACGGAATATACTCTAAGCAACTCGAAAGAACAGCCACAAAAATTAAAGAGGGAGCAACATAAACCTTCCAGCAGATACATATCTATCAGCATAGTCAGTTGAGAATGGAAGATCCTCAGCATCACCCTCAATTATCTTGCATTCCTTCAAAGGTTCCTTTTCCTTAGCCTTAGCCAGCTGATGAGGAGATTGGTCAAGAATTGTAACATTCTTGGCATCTACATGCTCAACTATACCCAATGTAGTGAAACCAGTGCCACCACCAACATCCACCACAGTCAAATTCCTGTCATTAAGATCAGCTGGTTCAAGTGCATCATCCCTCATATCTTCAGTCCAATGCCCAGGATTAATCACATGATCATACACAATAGATAAAAACCTATAAAACCAAAAAGCTTCTTGTTTGTGCTGTATGAATCTTGGCTGTGAAGCTGGCCTAGATGTTGAAATACTGCAAATTGGAGCTAGGGTTTTGATTTTACAATTGGTTCTTGATAAACCCAGCTTGGGAAATTGATTCCCATTGAAATCTGAACCAACAAAGCCTAACCCATTTGGGGAAACTCTATTACAAAGACTGAAACTTTGAGTTCCAGATATGAGTATTGAATTTGCCATAATTAGTTGAGCAAATGCAAGAAATGAAAGTCGTCAAAATCGAAGCTTTAATGGTTACAAAACTATTGAAAAGCCTAATTTAAGTCATAAATCAAGAACCCAATGGAATTTGCTGTTGAAAAAGGGCAAAAGTTGATGGGCTTTTGTGACACACTAGCAATCCCTCCGTCCCATATTAGTTTATCACTTTTCATTTTAATCGATGTTTAAAAAATTATAAATACGAAGATAAATAATTTCAAGGATAATATAGTAAAAATTTAATCAATATTTTTTTGATTTAGTAAAACGAACCACTAATATATAACGACTATATTTAGTGAGTATAATAATCAATTAATATAGGAAGAATGAAATTTGATAAAATTTCAAATTTTAGAATTATCTAGTTAGCTATCAAAATAATAAATAAAATAAATACACTCATCAAGTCTAGTAAGTAACGCCTGAACTGACCAATGTGGAATAGACATGAATTCCTTGCTTCATCACTATCTATACCAAATTAATATTCGCTCGGTCTCATATTAGTTGACATACTATCCTAAAAATAATTATCTCCTATTAGTTGATCACCTTATCAAATTAGAAAACATTAACTTGATTTTTTTTCTCATATTACCCTTGCAATTAATTATTTTTGAAAGTATTCACACTTGTTTGTATAGTTCTAAAGAAGTTCGTAAGGGGTGAATTGGTAAAACTACTCTCTTATTTATGATTTCTTAATATGCGTGTAAAAAAAAAGTGATCAACTAATATGGAACGGAGGGAGTATATATTTTAGAAAAATTGGCACACTCCATTTTAACGTCTTTGTTATATTTTAACTTGACACGTAAGTTAAAAAAATAAATAAGAATTTTAAATTTTGTAATTTTAAATTAACGATGTAACGAATAAACAAAAATATATTTTAATCTTATAATTTTAAACATGTAAATATTGAAATTAAGAAATTATCAAAAGAATTTTTTTTAACGGACTAAGAGAGTGTTATTCAAGTGATATCGACCCATTGTAGGTATTTTAGAGTAAAAAAACACCACTAATCCCTCTGTTTAAAAAAAAGACGCAGTACTTTTAAATCTGTCTAAAAAGAATGATTTCTTTTTTTAATATTTTAATTTCAACTTTTCTCGAGTCATATTTAAAGTCATAAAATTAAAAGATATTTTGATATATTTAACATAACGTTAGCTTAAGATTATGTGTCGGAGAGTAATATTTTTGAAGTTATGTTAGATAACACCACTTGATTGAAAAATTTCTCAGCTACTACCCTCGTGATCATGATGTATAACAAAAGTTTGTGTAATAAGAGCTTGTTTGGCTTATACGCGTAAGTTATAAGTTAGGAATTTTAATTTATAATTTTTTGTTTATATTTATTATTTTGATTTAAAAATAGAAATCTGTCCATATTTTTGCATTACTTGCGTATAGTCTATTGTAGTACTATACACAATATTATATATGTATTGTACACAAATGTATAAACTTGTAAAAACATATATAGAAGTATATAAAAAGTGTTTATATACATTTTTACTGTGTTATTTATCTTATACTTATATAGTTATACAATATTGCTATAAAGCTATCTCATCAGGTAAAAACATAACATATGTTAAATTTTCTCTTTAGTTTGTTGGTAATATGTCTTATTTAATAGATGTTATGCTATGAGTTCTTCTTAACTCAGGACTTGGTTCACCTCCGGTGGAGATCTCCTTTGATCCCTTCAATCCTATCCTAAATGAATTAAAAGTGTCGTTTTAATTTTTAATGAATAAAATGTATCTTATTAACCAAATAAGATTCATTATAGTTTCCAACATTTTTCTCTTTTCTCTCTTGATTTCCTTTCACTGCTATCACCGGAAACACTTAACAATTATGATTTCCTTTCGCTATTATCAATAGAAAAACATTTAATAATTATAATTCACTTTCATTGTTATCAACAAAAAACACTTAACAATGAGAAGTAAAAGAAAATCTAGCATATTTGTTAGGTATTTCATCAAAAAAATACCAAATTATGTATTTTAGTACATCAACTCTTTTTTCCCTTTTCTAATTTTAATGCCAAATTGTTATGAATCTTTAGAGAAGGATCGATTCACGGGGCGATATATAAATCAGCTCGTTAAAGGGAAGCTGAAACCTTAGAATTCATTAAAAGAGAACTCTGATCTCTTCAGTTCAATGGGAGACTGAAACTTTAGAGATCAATGGAAGAGAGAACTCTAATCTCTTGTTTTTCTGTTGAAATATGACTTACTGATTTATTCATCAAAAGCCCCTTTAAATAGGAGTGTTATTACATCAATAAGAAGTAATATGAGTCTTATTACATCAATAAGAAGTCTAATTCTTATGAAAGTAGGAGACCTAAATCCTATTCCAAACTAATAACTATAATTTAACATAATCCTTACGAAACATAAATCCTATTCTAGAATAATAAATAAAGCAACTAAAAATATAATTAAATACTTAATTTAAGGGCTTCCAACGCATCCACAACATTATCCCTCTTACGTTGAAAGAGCTTGTCCTCAAGCTCGAATTTCGGGGCAATCATCCAGAAAATCTGGATCAGTATCAACTTATCCAATTTCAGCCCTAGCTTGAAGTTGACATTGATAAATTTTGACTCTATCAGTTTGCTGAAGCATGACTAATTCGCCCATCAGGTTGCTACTTTCATGAGGTCCAAATCTGCAGATCCCTTTTTCAAGAAAAAAAAAGTATTGTTGATGTTCATTGCCCTAGAGGGAAGGTAGTTGAGTGCTTCAAATTCTTTATTTTAAAAAATCTATAATTCAAATGTATCCTTCGGATTTATTAATCTCTTATTCTTATTGAGAGATTTGGTATGATTTTTTGTTTGTTGGGTGTGTGAAAACAATTATCAAAAAGAGTGATTTGTGTCTACCATCTGCATTTCTTGTTCTGCTTTGCAAACGGATCAAATAGTTAAAAAAAGGATTTTTGCTTGAAACAAGAAAAAAAGGATCGAAAAGAAATAATATGATTAAAAAAGGACCGAAGAGAAATAATATTAATCATAGTTAATATCAACTACGTTAGCAAAATGAATCTAGTCCATTCAATTATTGAAGGGACGCATGTATGATAAGTAGGGAGCCACGTATACTTGTGTCAAATGTTAACTGTTTTTTTTCAAATTCAGTCATTGCTTATGAAAAGAATTGACTATCTGCTATAAAAATAAGAAGTTAAACCGGGCTAAAGAATTATATAATTAGACATATTTCATTATTATATATATTATTATTACTTATATATTTATTACTAATTAATATTTTTTAATCATATATTGAGGCAAACATATTTACATACATGTATTTTTGCTATAAGATACACTAAAATGGAGAGAGACGAGTGAAATAAGAAGGGAGATAGTGATGTATCCCAGATACATGTATCCGTATGTATATGGTGTGATTCACATGTATCTGGGATACCAAATACAAAGGAGAGTGGCAAGCGGGATGGGAGATTAGAGAGGCGAGTTAGGTGAGCGAGATTTGTTATGTATCCCAAATATATGTGAATTCACTTGGATACGGTGTATTTGAACAAATTACACCTAACTAGACCTCATGTATTCTGAGCAAAATCTAGTAAGATTCATGCAAACTAAAACGTATCTAAGTAATTAACTCTTAAATTAGTGGGATTTATGTAACTTTTCCTAATAATTTTATCTCAATATCGACTCAATTAAAAAAAATCTTAAAAATAAGTGTTTTAATGCACCTTTTTATCTTACCAAACAACAAAACACTCAAAATAAGTATTAGTAGTAGGAGGGGTACGTCATAAAATTGCATCTCAGTTAGCTATGAATTTCCTTGATTCAACTAGTAAGTATCGATTTAATTTATTCCTGTCACAATATAATTTACTTTTTTTTTTAACTTTAGCGCTTGAATTATCCGCCTAATAACCATCAAGATTCATATAATGTATGTTATTAATCACGTCCACAAATTATATTATGTCATTGCAAGCACTTAATCCACTAGTAATTAAGAATGGCATACTTGTACTTGCCTAGAAACCATCAACCAGATGATTCAAATCCCCAATGGATGAACAAAGCTGACAATGCTTGGCAATTGACTTCAGCCACCCTTGTTGGCCTTCAAAGTGTTCCAGGTATATTAACACTCCTACCTCTGTACCTCATATAATATTTTGGCTCATGAAAAACAATCAAGCTAATGTGTGTTGAGACACTTGAATATATAGTTCTGATATCATGTTGAATTGTGTGGATCATATTATCTAAAAGTTTAAACTTATAATATAGACATAGAGAGCTAGGGGTGGAGCTAGTATACTCCTAACTCCACCCGTTTCAATTTGTTTACGTGGATTTGATATTGACACAAAATTTAAGAAAAGTAAAAAACAGACTTTTTGATCTTAAATTAAAGATACGCTATGTGAAATGTGCCAAATTGTTCTTTAATCTTGTGTTTTTAAACATATCATGTGAAAAGTTAGAATTAAAGAGTTACCAAAAAAGAGGTGAGAAACATTCATTTTAAAATGAATTTAAAAAAGAAAATAAGACAAAGAAATTGAAATGGAAGAAGTACTAAGTATGGGTTTTGGACGAATCCAGTAACTTTTGCTTAGATGGAAAATCATTGAATCTGTATAAATATTTAATTGTGAATTCAATAACTAAGTCGAGGTATGGGTTCAAACCTAAGTTTTGAACCCATAAACTCCTAATTCTGGCTATGGCCTCTGAAGCACACTTTCGATTACTTAATTATATTATGTCGCAATGACAGGTCTTGTCATCCTTTACGGTAGCATTGTGAAGAAGAAATGGGCTCTCAACTCGGCTTTGATGGCCCTTTACGCCTTTGCAGCAGTCCTTGTTTGTTGGGTTGGCTGGGGATACCAATTAGCCTTTGGTGACACATTAGTTCCATTTCTTGGTAAACCAAATATTGATGCATTGGAACAAAAGTTCCTAATGAGTCAAGCATTTGTTGGCAAGTTTCCAAATGCCTCAATGGTCTATTTTCAGTTTGTATTCGCGGCGATCACTTTGATTTTAATAGCTGGTGCCCTGCTCGGGAGGATGAATTTCATCGCGTGGATGTTGTTTGTTCCTCTTTGGCTTACTTTTTCATATACAGTGGGTGCATTTAGTATCTGGTGCCCTCAGGGTTGGCTGTTCAGGATGGGAGTTATTGACTATTCGGGAGGTTTTGTTATTCACCTCTCTTCTGGTGTTGCTGGTTTCACTGCTGCTTATTGGGTATGTATTTCAGTACTCTTATGTCGTAAAGTTAATTTTGAACCGGAGAATAACTTATACATTATGCCTATATGTCATCGGAAAATGAGAGCATTGAAGAATGCTAAATTTGCTCCTGGAATACAAAAAGTAAGTTGTCATGTAAGTATAGTCATGTCAGCAACTCACGTTAGACGAGAGATGGTGTCACGTTGATGATATGCTAGACGAGTTGCTGGCGTGGCTAAGCTTACATGACAATTTTATACTTGTGGCAGCGAAACAGAATTTTCTATGATATATATGCGTAAATGAGTTATTTTTCTGTTACAAAAATTATGTTTACGACTTTAATGCAACATCAATTTCTTATGCCTAGATACTATGAGATTCTAAAAGGATAAGGAAAAATGGATGTAGGTTGGACCAAGGGCACCTAGAGACAGGGAGAGGTTTCCACCAAATAACATATTGTTAATGTTGGCTGGTGCTGGCATTCTATGGATGGGATGGACAGGATTCAACGGCGGTGATCCATATGTAGCTAGCCTTGATGCATCCTTAGCCATCCTTAACACGCATGTTTGTGCTGCAATGAGCTTGCTAACTTGGCTAATGTTAGACATTCTCTTCTATGAAAAGCCTTCTGTAATTGGTGCTACCCAAGGAATGATCACTGGCTTAGTTTGCATTACTCCTGCAGCAGGTAACTAAAATAAGGCTTTAAGATATGTAACATGTACCAAAGTGATAGCTTTTCTTGCAGTAGAACCTCAAGTCTCACCTATAAGAGAGGTGAATTTAGATTCTAAACGCAGCGATTGCACATCTTAATATAACATAGAGTACTTATTTTTTAAGTTCTTAAGTTATTTCAGTATACATAAGATTTAGTCCTAGCTTGAGATAGCGGATGTACATGCATTCGCTGTTCATATTCTGGAGGCATAATATATAACGATCACTCAAACTTGGCCTCAGCTGGCAAGTAAACACTCCAACTTCGAGTATTCACATCTAGACACCTTAGCTCGCCTCCATTGTGTCAGTTGAACAATCCAGCTTACAAAATGATCATCTAGACACCTCCAAAGTTTGTGCATCATGTCAGCATCGGGTGTCCACGAGACATAGTGGAAACGAGTTGGAGTGTTTAGTTGTCAGTTAAGACCAAAGTTGAGGTAACTATTTCAAAGTTAGAGTGCTTACTTGCAAGATGAGGCCAGGTTTGAGTTTTTATTTATGTATTTTTTATGTATATACAGTAGATGTTAAACCCTCTATAGCCTTTTCGTGTGTTTACTTTCTATATTTTGAACCCCTTAGTGAAAATTCTAGCTCCGCCAATGAAACAGGGGTGGTGCAAGGTTGGGCAGCAGTACTAATGGGGTTAATGTCCGGATCCATTCCATGGTTCAGTATGATGTTCCTTCATAAAAAAATGTGGTTCCTTAAACAAGTAGACGACACCATGGCAGTGTTCCACACACACGCGGTAGCAGGAACCTTAGGTGCGATTCTGGCAGGTGTATTGGCAAATCCAAGACTCAGTCGCATCTTCTACATGGTTGATGATTGGCCAAAGTATATAGGCCTTGCTTATGGCATTCAAAGTGGAAAGTACAATGCAGGGCTCAGGCAATTAGGGGTACAATTGATAGGTATCGGATTTGTTTTCATTTGGAATGTCGTTAGCACTAGTGTGATTTGCTTATTAATTAGGATAGTGGTTCCTTTGAGGATGACAGAGGAAGAGGTCAGTGAGGGGGATAACGCAGTACATGGAGAAGAAGCGTATGCATTGTGGGGTGATGGAGAGAAATTTGACAACTCAAAGCTCCAGTTAGTTCATGAAATTGAAGAACCTCAGTTGTCTAAAAGTGGCTATGGACTTTGATTGTACTGAATCTGGTGCTGTTGTTGTTACAACACTTCAAAATATTTGTCAAAGTTTAATAATTCTCAAGCCTTTTTTTCTCTTGTAAGGTGTCTTAGCAATATTATATCTTATATAATATCATTCTGGACAGTTTTTTTTCATTGTTAATACTGTCTTCGATCCATATTATCTGTCTTAAAAGAACTCTGCACACCGATTAAGAAGGACATTTAATAGCCTTATTCAGCAAGCAACTGGAGACGTAGTATCCAACCTTACTCTTAGTCTATAATCGTTTCATTTGCGAATTAATTGGCTTCATGTTGCAGATTGTGAGGTTATAGCTCAGATTATGACATGAAGGACGTGACGTATGAGTTGTTTTTGAGACAAATCACTCATAAGACTAATATATAACCACATCTAAGTGTTCAATAAAATTGTTTGAATCACACTTATGCAACTTCAATATGTTGAAGCATTCTTTTATTAAGTAGTTTTGTGGTGGTTGGATTTCTTGTATGGTCGCTCAACTAATAGTTATTATCTGAGATAGTTGATTTCAATTTTTTCAACTAAGAATATGAAGTTTTCACATTTCTTCAAACAATATTTAGAAATTTATCTGTTAGCATTCTTATGCATCAGGTTTAATTTATTTATGCAAATCAATTCCTGTGAATTTACACCTCTTTTAAAATTACCAATGCTTTTAACATATGCTCATAATGTTAAAGAGTATTTCATCTTTCAAATCGAAAGGATATATGAACACGACGCGTTATGAAATCTCCAGATGATCTTTCTTCTTCATTTGGCTGTTGCAATCTGTTTGGTGTTTATTGTTTAATTTGCCTGCATGAATTTTATAGAAGAACATAAGTAACATACTCAGGCATGACAACATAATGTTGTATAATATTATATATTGAGATACGTGGCGTAATATGTTTTTCTGAAAGCTAATTAAAAAAATTGCAATTATGGTAGATGAAAAAGTTACATAGTTTGTAGCAAGGTTGCATAAATGCTGGATCTGTATCTGGTGGAGGAGGATCCTGCCCAAATATCATTTCACAGCTCATATCATCAAAGTCTGCAAAATAGAGGTGTCAACATCATTTTATATTGTAGAATTTGCTTATATTCTGTCTTACTATATGATTGGATGTGGAGAAAAGAAGTGCATGAACTATTATTTTTTCTAAAATTGAAAAATAAATCACTTAATGGACAGAGTATCAAGAAGCACTATGATTCATATCAAATGTGTTGTCTCAAGCACAAATAAGTTGAATCAACTATACGAATATTTAATGTCATGTCGGCCTGTTTAAGTCTGATCTATGTGAACTTGCTCATATTGCTGATCTTAAGGTCGAATAATGTTGGAGGGTGTTGTAATAGGTTGACAGTCAATTATGATGAACCCTCGCAATACAAAATAGATTAGGGTTTTTGTTCATATAAAAATAGAAATTGTGAAGTGCTTTATGCTAACTTTTTTCAATAGCAGTATGATTGATCCTTTTCAATATTGCACCTTTAGTGGCATCAAGGTGGGACCTCCCATTGAATTGATTTGTAAAATCCTCCAACTTCTAGTGCAAGTATTATTAGAAGAGCTATGTTGCTCGTATTCTTCAAATATATATGTTGTTACACTAGTGTCAGATTCTTCAAAAAGTATTCAACATCTGATAAGTAACTCATTTTCTTTTCAACTATCAATATGGAATTTTGTTCGTACAAACAACGCATTAGGCACAACTACATAATGGAAATTTTTAGAGTAGTGTGTATTAGTATTTGGTATAAGTTTATACTTACTTGGCACCATGTTCACTGACATTCCTAATGTATCCTTGATGAATAATTGAGAAGGCATCTTACAAAGATTAGTGCACATTCCCACACAATTTGTTTCCTCCAAAAACCTACAAAAGTATATTGTGAAAATGGAAAAGGTTTGGGAATTAATTTTAAAATACTTAAACCTTGGCCATCATCATGACAATAGACAATCTCAAAGAAGCAACAATCCACTAGAATTTGTTATTTGAACTTTTAGTTGAGTAGTCAACATTGTCCAAAATATTGGATAGGTTTTTGGACAATATTTGAATTGAAGTTCTTCTCTTTGTTAATAGAGCTTCGGAAAATTAACCAACACGGGTTGTGGTGGAGTGACAAGTACTCCTTCAATTTACCCCAATATGAGGTTTTTCAGCACGGATTCATATTTAGCTGAACTTCAATATGAGTACAAAACACCAAATGAAGAAAAATTAAAATACCTGCATTTTTTTATGTGGACCACATTGTTCTCTTTTCTCCCGTTAAACTCAGACTCTTTCACCTAAAAGCATAAGAATATTGTTAAAAATCTTGGTCACTACCATTTGACTTGAATGTTATGTCATTGCATATGTAAAAATCAAGAATGTATCATGTGTGACATGATACAATTTATGTGTGGACGGTGCAAGAGTCAAATGACTTAATTAATTTGGTAATAACTTTTTTATATATATAAAGAAATTGAGATTCTTATTTAAAATGATAGTTCTCTCTGTCCATTTAAGTTAATGTGCTTATTAAAAATAATAAATTTCAATATAATTGTTAGTTAGTTAAGGGAAAAGCTCAAATATATCATCAAACTTTGAGAAAAGACTCATCTATGTCATCATTTAAAAAATTGGCTCATTTATGTCATTTTCATTTGAAAAAAGGCTCATCCAGACATTATTCGTTAACTCATTACACTATATATGACTTATATGTAGATCAATTCGTGTAATATTTATAATTGGAAAAAAAAAATACCTCACAAGGTCCCACTAGCCAAGGGAAGAAGATCGTGGTGAAAATAGCGCAATACTCCCTCGCCCACTTAGATTCCGGTAGTAGCATCTTCACCTGTTCGAATATCAAGAAGAAATCATACGAAGAAATTAAAAGGAAATTTAATAAAACTATATTACATATGAATAAAACTTTATAGTGTGATTTTTAATAAAGAGGGATTTGAATGGACCTTTTGTGTCTCTCTAGACTCTAGCTTTGTCCCACCTCCATTTCAATTTATGTAAAACAAGAAATTTCGAAAAAAACTTATAACTATGTATACAAATGTTATGACATATATATCTATGATCACATATTGAACTATCATGAAGTCATAATAAAATTATTGGATGTTTACAAAATCTTCCTCAACTATTATTAACTTATATTACAATACCTTCTAGAGCAATATAACATTTTACGTGAACATCACACACATATTATTAAGGCATAATACATAAATATGACCCTTAATTTGGCGTTAATTTATAACTATGACCCTTAACTTTGGATGTGTACAAGTAGGCACTTAAACTTGTATAAATTGAACAAGTAGACACACGTGTCCTACATGGCATGATACACGTAGGACACAAAATTTCCATGTAGGGTGCCATGTAGGACGAATGTGTCAATTTGTTCAATTTTATACAAGTTTAAGTGTCTACTTGTACATGTCTAAAGTTAAGGGTCATAGTTATCAACTGACGCCAAATTAAGTTCATATTTATGTATTATGCCTATTATTAATGATCATTCAAAGCTACACCTGGATTATTTTTAAGCATCACCAACATGTCATCCCTAGTCATCAATACAAAAAATGTATATATTAGATAAGTATATAATAATTACTGAATTGTTGGAGATAAAGCAACTTGCGTTATATGCTCTTTCTGTACTCTTTATCGTTCTACATAATAATTTAATTAGTACGTTTTGTCTTTAAATATAGACGGACCATTAATCAGTGCTTGCCTTTTAATAATATAAAATGTTAATTTATAGTTGGAAGTGCAATTGAATAATATTATAAGTTAATAACAAGAAAGGATGACAAAACCAAACTTTTATTCTACTTCCTAAATATTGACGTGCATGCTATCGTCCTCCCTATATATATTTAGAGGCGGAAATTTTAATAAGGAGTTCTAATATATTTTAATTTTTGATTTCAAATAATTTCTGAATTAGTTTTACTATTATTAAGAGATTCAGAAGCTTATATATATAGGGGAGAAATTATTTTTATTTTATTTACGTAATATAGTTTATTATTTACGTGTTCATGTTATAACACATGTTGTTGTTGTTACCTTCTCGACTATTAAGTATTAACTCTAATTAGATTAAAAATTGTCTCAATTGAGTATATGATAAAATGTTTTGGATAATTTGCTGATAAAATTGTCTCAATTGAATATATGATTGGGATAATTTGCTGATAGGCACATAAAATATGAGAAAAGGCTTAAAAATGAGTTCACCTATCAAAAAAGTTTTGTGAATATCTAGTTTAGATATAAAATTCACAAAGCAGTAATAAGTGGTGATATTAACCAATTCACCCAGTTTTTTTTTCACGTGTTCACACGTAAAATGTTATATTGCTCTAGAGGGTATTTTAATATAAGTTAATGATAATTCAGGAATAGTTCTGTGAACACCTAATAATTTAATATGAATTCGTGAAAGTTTAGAAAAAATCTGTGAACAATAATTTAATTTTCTTTTAACCTACTTATTCATAAAAGACTGTGATTTAAAACACGTTAAAAATAAGAAAAAGACAACGAGTAAACACATTTTTTAACATATATTGACATTATAATATACTATTAAATTAATATTTTAACATGTTATTACAGGTAATCGGAGTATGCAATGAAATCAGAAATTATTTGAAGAAAAAAAAAGTTAGAAGATATGAAGTTGAACTTGCCAGGGAAAGAATAGGCTTAGGGAATGCCCTTTGAAGAGATTCAATAACAAGATTTGTTTGATGTGTTGAATTAAAGTTCACATACACCACCCTTGCAGCCTCCACAAAGCCTTCATAGCCACTCTTCTTGTTTCTTAATCCTAAAATTAATATTATAATAAACAAATAAATAAGAGAAAGATTGAATTGGTACCTTTTAATTAGAATTGATTTCTCGAATGGTCACTCAGCTAATTAATACAAAAAGTCGTCTTTTTTGGTTGAAAAAAAAAGTTGACTTTATGAAATAATAACTATAAGTTGAGTGACGGTTGAGAAATCAACTCATTTTAATTAAGTGTGATGAGAAAGAGAGATATTTAAATATTTATCTCTGGTTTTAATTTGACATGAAATTTATAAAAAAATAAATAAAATTGAATCATGTGATTTTAAATTAAAGATATGTAGAAGGTACTAAAATATTTTTAAATCTTATTATGATTTTAAACATGTCATATGGAAAGTTAAAAATAAAGAGTCGCAAAAAAAGGAAAGAAATATTTGAAACAAACTAAAAAGGAGAGCAGGACAAACAAATTAAAACGGAGAATATATAATTACCTGTGGTAGCTTGTATACTTTGAGAGAGATGATTAATAGCAAGATGATCAAACCAATTATCTTTATAAACATGATAATTACTACTATGATTATTGTGAGGTGGTTTTGTTAACACACAACATGTTGATGGATATGCTAACTTATTGTACTTATAATATGTATTGATCTTTATATTTCTCATGGAAACTTTTGAAAAGCTTTGGTAAGATAGAACAAGATTTGCCTCCATATGTGAGAGAAAGAGAATAATTATATATGAAAGAGGATTAGTAGAAGAAATAATATATAGACTCCATACTAATTGTGGACAGATTTATTTATATTATAATTAATTATGAGGGGAGAAGTAATTAATTACGTAGTGTACCATTGTAGAAAACAAACAAAAGAGAATGAAAGAGTATATTAGGCAAAGTCTAAATCTTGATACCTTAAGTGCAATTAGAATTATTAAATTTATATAATAAGATGATTACATCATGAAACTAAGTTATTAATATATAATTAATTTATAAGTAACTTAATTAATTAAGATCGATGCATCCTATTTAAATTCTTTAACATTCTTTTTCTTTGGAAGAAAAAAATAAAATAAAAGGAGAAGTCGGCAAGAAGATGCCCTTTGCAATTTTTGCTTCTTCTATTCATCTTTTATTTTTCTCCTTTTTCTTTGAGTGGAAGACATAATATTCATCATATAATATAATCCACATATTTTGTGTCAACCAGCAGTTGATCAACAAAATGAAAGGATTAATTTTTCGATCCGGAGAAAGGATGTAATTTGAATAACACATGTTCACATTGAATACGATGTAATTTGAGCATTATGTGTTTATATTGAATTATTATTATTTTCGAAATGTTCATATTGAATAGTTGTTACCATCGTGTAAAGGCATTAACATCTTTTTACAGTTGTAATTTTTAAAAAAAGACATAATACCTTTCATTTAATCTAAGCTTTTCCAACTTCTACATTAAATCTAGATTAAGTCATGTGATTTGTTTCATTTGGATAGGTTCATTGTTATTTAGTGGAGTTTGGGGTATATCAAGATAAATAGTGAAGTCCACCTGCAAAGTGTAATTATAACTAAACTTAGACACTAGAATTGAGCTTTATTAATAAGATCGATAAAAGGTTTAATCCACTTTATCAATATCACTTCTCATAATCTGTATAATGCTATTTCAATTAGAACTTACCTATATATTTTTAAACTAGTTGCTAATTAGTAGTGTACAATGCTAGAAATATTAGTTATGAATCAACCATCAACTCAATATCCTTGTACGAGTCCACAATGACCACAAGATGATAGTTGCATATAAAGAGTAGATGCTCAATGTTTTCTTCTTATGAAATTCTACAGCATGAGCACTTGGTTGGGATAGCAATCTCCATCTTAACAATCCTAGCATCAAAAGGTATTTTGTCCTTTAATGCTCTCCATACTAAAACATATAATTTACTTGTACTTCAAATATTTCTTTAGTCCTATCAAAATACAACTATCTAAGGTATTTCTTAAGAAAATAACATAAACTATAATATGAGTAATGACACTAAAATATTCAACCAAAAAATAATAATAATGAAATCACGTAAGATAAATATTGCAAATTAACAAGTCATAATGAAAATGATCATAATTTTAAAGTACTAAATCATGCTAAAATAAGTTTAATAAGTATTAGTTACATGACTAAATATTAAAGGAAATTAAATTAAATTAAATTATGTATTTGAATTGTACTAAACCAATGTAAAAACCAAAGAACAAATATTCAATATTATTGTCATTCTTAGTGTTGAATTGATTTTCATTTTGCATTAGTATTAATTTAATTTTGATTTAAGCTTTATTATAATTACCAACATCTGTGAACTATAATCTTTATTGAACCATTTAAAATTCTAAGTTTCAAAGAAATAATATATTAAAAGATAAAAACTATGAAAAAGTATAAGAAACATTTAAAAATTATATTAAATTAAATATTTTTTATGTATAAAATAAAATTTTAAAATTATATATAATGTCAAATTAGTTTGATCTCGAATTAATTTTTTTTAGTTAAAAACCAAACCAACCCAAATATAGTCGAGTTTTTTTTAAAATATCAAACCAAGTCAAACCAACCACTTGTCAAAAAAAATTCTCAATTTGTGGTTTGGTACAATTTTCGATTCGATTTTGTACACCCCTAACTGCTTGTAAAGAGTAGATAGTCAATGTTTTCTTCTTATGAAATTCTACAACATGAGCACTTGGTTGGGATAGCAATCTCCATCTTAACAATCCTAGCATCAAAAGGTATTTTGTCCTTCAATGCTCTCCATACTAAAAATTATTGTAGTATGCTCATGTCTGTTGATGGATATACAATCATCGAAACAACCCACTAAACCATCAACAGAAACAGGTCAATTGACATACATAAATCTACATAGCAACACGATATAAATGTCAAATTAACATTTCCATTGTCCACTACATCCCTACAAGTTTTACTCCATCAAACATGACTGAGAAGCTGAAATTGTTCCTAAATCAAAATACAAGACTACTAATATCAAACCAGATAACAGAGAAAACATGCTAACACCAAACTGTCATTTAAGTCAAGAGACAACAAAGTTAAAGCATACGACCATTTCACTCCTTGGTGGTTTTGTTTATGAGTGATTTGTGAATGTGAGGGATGACACCACCACCAGCAATGGTCCCTTTAATAAGGGTGTCAAGTTCCTCATCTCCACGAATGGCCAGCTGCAAATGCCTCGGTGTGATCCTCTTCACCTTCAGATCCTTGCTTGCATTACCAGCCAATTCAAGAACTTCTGCTGTTAGGTATTCCAGAATCGCAGCAGAGTAAACAGCTGCTGTAGCTCCAACTCTTCCATGGGCTGCAGTTCTGGACTTGAGTTGACGGTGAATTCTACCCACTGGAAACTATAATCCCCAAAACATGTCCAAAAAAAACAAAATCATATCAAGCATTATTCAACATTGTTTGGGGGAAATACTATACTAATAATCATTAAGGGCTTCTTTTCATTGTGCTAAATGCAATGACAACAAAAATGTCCTAGTAAGAAACTCATTCAGGATGACATATACAACCATAACCTTAGCCGAAAGACGTCAGTAGAGCAAGAGAGCCACATTTAGTATTATCACTTGGGGAAAATACATATTTTGCACCCAAAATTGTCCAGTAAGTCACTTTACACACTCAACTTTGTGTGCATCCCCTTGCCCCATATTGTTGCCCAAAGTGTCCCCAAAACCTCCCTAAGTGGTGAGGATGCAGGAGCAGGGGGGGGTTCCACTTTCCTAAGGGGGCACGAGAAATGGGGAAAAAATAACTTCAAAATGTACTAAATTATACAAGTGTTATCTTTTAACTGGATGATACATAACTAATAAAACTTAAATCTTTTTTATGGGCTTTTGTTCCTTTGATTTTTTTCTGTTTCTTATTTTATTCTTTTTTTTATAACCAAGAAATCCATTTGTGACCCGCCGCCCTTTGGACCAATCACAGCCTTCTAAACTCAGTGGATAATGGGCCCGCCCCTCTACCCTTCTCCACTTAAATACCGGGCTTCACTTTGCATGGTGTGAGACTTGAACCTGCGACTGAAGTCACAAATCCTCCACCTTTTGCCACTCGAGCTAAGGCTTTGGGGGCTTTTATTTTATTCTTCTCCTCAACCCTCCCTTTCTGGACACCATAGTTGATTCCACCATGTCACCGCCTACACTTCCCTCGTTTCCAACTCCAACACATTACTTCCATTCCACCAGAACCTACAACCATTTCACATCTGTCATGACCACACCACATGCCACCACTGCCTCAAATAATACAGCAAAACCCAACAGCCACTACGCATTCTCAGGGATTGCTTTCACTCTCAGATCTGGAAGCCAAATAGAAAGAACAGCAAAATGGAGTTGTTTGGGCGAGTTTGGGGAGAGTATCAAAATCTAAACATGGTAAATGTAGGAACATGAATAACAAATCAACCGACAACCATAGTCAATGAAGAAGAAACCCAAGATTTCCTGGAATCTGGATGGGCGTACCAAGCTATTCTTGGGGTTGAATAGTTTGTTTGTGGATCAAAACCTATGGTGGTAAATGAAGGTTAATCATAAGAATAATTTGCAGCCGTTTGTACCAAATAAAAAGTTGAACTGATGAGTGAAGGATTCAGATTTCATTGATTATGTGGTTGAATTGGAATTGACAGGAACCAATCAGACTGTATATGAGATTATTTAGGAATTTTAAAGGTGAAGTCAGAAAAGCAATGTGGTTTGGTGGTTTAAATTTCCATTATTTCTAGTGAACATAAGTGAGAAAATGCAAAAACATTCATAGAACTGATTAGGATTTTCTGAGGTGGAAGTTGGCGTGGAGCATGCACTTCACAGATAAGCTTAAAACTGGTTCAAGGACAAACAAGAGGTATCAGTTCCAAGTTAAACAAGAACAATGACATAAGAAGTTTCCCTCAAAGTTTAGGTGTTACAATGCAAGTGACTTTCCTGAACAACTTTACAACATACCCAATGTAATCACACAAGTGAAGTTCAGGTACCCCTACCTATAGAGGGCAAAATATGTATGTTTCCCTATCATTTATAAAAATTAATATCACATGACTGAGAGAACATTCTATTTGCAGCTACATAGATATCACTATGCTATTGTAGTATGTTTGTTATACAATTTGCACATTCAAAGATGAGATTCATGCAAAAACTGAAGAGTTTTTGCTATATATCAACAATCTAATTTACACCTTCAACAACATACTCAAGACTCTAGAGCGTACACATACCTTACCCCTACCTCATGGATATAGGGAGGATGTTTTCGAAAGACTCTAGACTTAAGCAACACATAACATGACAGCTTGAAAAAGACAATACAAAGCTAGAACAATATGTAGCAAATAAGACAGCAAATAATAGAGAAGTTGTAACAAACTGTACAAAACATAAAAATGTGAAAACAAGTGCAAGAAACGTGTAGTAGAAGTAATAAAAGAACAAAAATCTACATGAATAATGCTAATACTATACCAGCCCTGTTGGGGGAGCAAGACAACCCTTAACTACATTCTACCTTAATTCTCTAACTCCACATACTCTTATCTAAGGTCATGTCCCAAGTAACTGAAGTGTATCATGTACTGTCTAATCAACTCTCCACAATACTTTTGTAATGTACCTACCTTTACCCCTCATTAAACAAACCTATGTTAGCCTACCACACATCCATAACGAGAGGTCTACACATCTTCTATTCACATATCCAAATCATCTCAATCTCACCTGCCTCATCTTGTTCACCACAAAGGTTAGTCTTATCTTGTCCCAAATATCTTCATTCATATTCTTATCTCTCTTGGTATGCCCAAACATACACCTCAATATCATCATCTCCACAACATTTAGATGTGTTATTTAGCCCTACGTAGAAATTGAGACACAAGCTAATTACATCACAAAGGACAAGTAGGCAGACTGGAACTTCACAGATAACATCAATTGTATTTATCTGTCAAACTTGTCCTAGTATATGTACACAAATAAAAACCGCTAATAGATTTTGACTAGGTAAATTATATCCTCAAAGTTAACTTAGAAACAAAAGCAACACATCCACAAACACGATGAGATAGAACAAGCAACCACAATATCAAAAAGGAAAGCAATTTTCAACCAGCTTTAACTTAAATTTAGCAACCTCCCTGAAACCCAACAACAGAAAACTGTAGCCAATCTAAATCTTTACGACATTGGCTTGATGCCTTTCTCTGGGAAGTGGAAAAATCAAATTACCTGAAGACCAGCTCGAGATGACCTAGAAACTGGCCTTTTCTTGTCTTTCTCCTTGTTAGCTGCTGCTGCTGCAGCTGCTGTTGTCTTTCCTGCTAGCAATCCTTTACCACCTTTCCCCGCCATCTTGTAATAAACCAAAAAAACAAAAGGTAAGTATTTGTGTGGTCTTTTCTCTTCAATCTTGAAGAGGATAAACCCAGAATTTGCGTCAACGATAAACCCAAGATGAAGTAAAGAATAAAGATCTGACTTTTCCCCGTAAAATCAAATAATTAAACTCAGATCTTCCATATACCACTAATTCTAACAAAACCCAACAAACAACTACAAAAATCCAAACACCGAAAAAGGGTTTTATGAACAAATCAAAAGGAGACAACCCCCAGAAGAAAAAAAACGGAAACCCCACAACGAACAACGAAATCAAGAAGATACCCAAAGAAAAAATTAGGGGTTTTACCCAAATCTCATTCACCACCAAGTAAACTAGTAATTAAAGAGAACCCCACAACGAACAAGGAAAACAAGAAGTTACCCAAAGAAAAAATTAGGGTTTTTTACCAAATCTCATTCACCAACAATCAATCAAACTAGTAATTAAAGAGAGGAGAAGAAAGAGAACATACCTTAGAACTTTTGGGCTAAGCAGAGAGAGGAGAGAGCAAAGGTTTTTTTTTTTTTGAGAAGATAATAAAGAGAGAAGAGTCGTCAGATCTGTAATATTAAGTGCCACATTTTATTGTAATTTTGGGTTTTGTTTTGAATGGTAAGTCTATTTGCCGCCTACAATTTCCTTTTGGGTGGGAATTTCTGAAATTTTTGGACTTTTTGGGTTTCAAAATTTTCGTTGCCCTCCTCTTTTATTTGGGGCCTGGCCCAACCCAAACCTTCTATAAATAAAAAAATAAGAAAAGGCCCAAAATAGTCCCTCATCTTTGACTTAAGACTTAGAGTCCTCCTTGAGTTTTCACCTTGAGCATTAATAGTCTCTTATGTTTACAATATTGGTGCACTTTTGGTCCTCTTTCAAAATTTTGCCTATTTTTTAACATTGATTTTATTCACAAAATAGTCCCTCATCTTTGGGTTAAGGTTCAAAGTCATCCTTGAGTTTTCACATGGAGCATTAATAGTCCCTTATGTTTGCAATATTGGTGCACTTTTTGTCCTCCTTCAAAATTTTGCCTATTTTTTAACATTGATTTTATTCATAATTTATGTATGGAATGTTTAATCGTCATTTTATATATTTAGTAGAAATAATAACTACATATGAGAAATTGTGAGAAGAAAATCACATTGTTTTGTCTAGTAGAAATCATATTGCAGGTAAAGTCGAGAGGTTCATCACGACGATTTCACGTGCAATAATACATTTTTTTCTTTTCTTGCAATTTCATATGTTAAAATGTTCTTAGTTTAAGCTGCAGTAATATTTATACTGAATAGAACAAGGTGTTCTCTTCTAACCTTCTCTCACATAGAGTTATTATTTCTACTAAATATATAAAAAGACGATGGACATTCCTTACATAAAATTATGAACAAAATTAATGTTAAAAAATAGGCAAAATTTTGGAAGAGGGCCAAAAATGCCAATATTGCAAACATGAGGGACTATTAGTGCTCCATGTGAAAACTCAAGGATGACTTTGAGTCTTAACCAAACGACGAGGGACTATTTTAGGCCTTCTCTCAATAAAAAAATCTCAAACTATGCATCTGATTTATATAAATCGCAACGATTTGTATAAATTGGATATTTGTGTCTATAAAAATTGCATTTGTATATGTATATGTTCTTTGTGTTAGGCTAGAGTGGCGAGCAAGACTAGGAGAGAGGCGATCGAGAGAGGATAGAGAGTGGAGAGAGGTGTATTGTATATGTATATCGGTTAAATAATTGTATATATGTAACTACTACGTATACGTATCAATGACTGTGTTTGTATATCTGCATAAAATTTGAATTTCTATACAATTGAATCAAGTTAAAACATTTGTATTTGTATATCAAATTTTTCTCTCGCTTTGTACAAACACAAATTGTACATTGTATTTGTATAATTTGTATTTGTATAAAGCGAGAGAGAGAAAGACAAAAGAGAACTGGGCAAGGGAAGATTTATATTAGTATTATTATAAGCGTATGGGACGGAGAGATATGTATTTGTATTTGTATATACGGTCTCTCTCGCTTTATACAAACACATTTGTGTTTGTATAAAAGTGAGAGAGGCAAGGGAGAGAATTGAGAGTGGCGAGTGAGATTCAGATGAGAGAGGCGAGAATGGCAAAGTGTTTGCTACGAATTATAATTAAATGAAACTGTATCTATATCATTTATTTTGAATTAATAGTTTGCCATAATGCACAATTTTTCCAAAAAGAAAAACTACAAAATTAGACATATTTCACTGTCATATTTATTATTATTATTATCCATTCTTTCAAATATTATGTATTTTACCATTAATTAAGTTTTTTTTTCTATCATATATTGAGAAAACTACACTTAGATACATATATTTTTGCTACCGAATACACCAAAATAGGCAGAGAGGCGAGCGATATGGGGAGGGAGAAAGCAAGATTCTAGTGTGATTCGCATATATCTGGGATACTAGATACACATGAGAGTGGTGAGTGAGATGGGAGAGAGGCGATCGAGATTTGTATTAATCTCAGATACATGCAAATCGACTTGAATATAATGTATAAAAAAAAATTACACTTAATTTTGAACCTATGTATTTGGGGATACATGTGGTCAAAATCAGGTGTTATTTGTTCTAACTACACTGTATCCAGGTGGATTCGCATGTATCTGGGATACATAGACAAATCTTGCTTGCCACTCTCCTCTCTCGTATTTGGTATTCTAGATACATGTATCTGGGATATATAGACAAATATTGCTCACTTCTCTCCCTATTTTAGTGTATCTGATAGCAAAAAATATGTATCTAGGTGTATTTTGCTTGAAATATGATATGAATTACTTAATTAGTGAGATAAAATGTAATTATTTTAAACTATGAGGAGAATTAGTAAGTATAGTAGAACTATCTGTGTGATAATTAGGTAGTTTATCGGACTCATAATTATCAAATGTAGTACTTAATATTTTTCATTTACCAAATATAGCTAGAGTTTTGTTTCAAATCATATGCAAAATAAGGCTTCCTATCTCACTCACGATTTCATATATATATATATATATATATATATATAAATCATAGCCTTAGTTTTTAACTTCTGGCCATAAACTGATTTCTTGGTGGCAAGAAACACGTAAAACAATTTAGAAAACAAAGGAAAAGGTTGAATGATGATATCGATTGGTTAACAATAGCTCAATACCAATATCAAATAAACTTTCAACCATCTTAAATTATCTGTCACTTTTTTTTTCTTACACGTTTCTTCATTAAATATTAATTATGAGGAGTTCTTATTATTTTGTTCCTATTTATGTCTTAAATATTATCTCTCTTTAGTAATATTTGTTTTATTTATGTGTTATCGCATCACCCTATTAAGGTGTTTTTAATCTTCATAAATAATTATTATCAAGTGTAAAATGAAAAAGAATTATTCATTTTGTCTTGAACTTCTACAATCACAAATACTTCCTACGTTTACTTTTATTTGTTTTCAGTTCAAAATTTGCACGTCCTTTAAAAAATTATGATTGATATGAATATTTTATCACAATACTCATATTAATTAATGTTTAATAGTATTTCTTGCAAAATAATTCGGTAAATAAGTAATTTATTAATAATATTAAGGATAAAACGTGAAGATCAACAAAAATATTTTTCTCTTGATATCCCAAAAGTAATAAGTAAGCTAGAGTTAAAATATATTTTTAATATGCGGACAAGTAAAAGTGAGCGAATGAAATAATTTAAGATAATTATTTTTTCTAAAAAGAAAAATACGACATATAATTTGAGACAGAAGGAATATATCCAACATAGCACATTGCACCACATGGTCATATTTTTAGTTTACACTGCATAGCTAATATTTTTTTTCTGAAATAATAATTATACACCTGCTCCCACCCGATGTCCGGAGCCCACATTGGAGCTCCGATTAAATCCGGATCGCGCTCTGCAGGGCCTATTCGAAGGCGGCGCTCCCAACAAGATTTTCTCCATACCCAGGGCTCGAACCCGAGACCAAGCAATATATTAATCTTTTATTAATACATATAATAAAAGATGCGTATACTCTCTTACAATTTTTCGATTTGGATTTATCTTCCTTGGTCGAGCTTTGTGCTCATTAGTGTTCATATTGTTAACTTGATGTTTCCTATGGTGTACTCACCAGATCGTGATCTGTGTTTTTTTTTTCTTTAAAATTTGATGTTATGGTAACGTGAATTGTTTTGAACGAATTATATATTAAAATATTTATAAATTTGAGAGGATTTCATATTTAAAACTTGAGACTGTTTAGAGGTGAGTTTGAGTTGTCCGGATTGAATAGTCAGTGTATTCTTCATGTATAGTTAAGCTATATTCAACTTTTTGAGTGTATCATAATGTATAATCAGTATATAGCTCATGTATTGGTTAACTATATTCAACTTTTTAAGTGTATCATATTGTATAAATCAATGTATATATTCTATGACTTTTTTTTATAAATAAATAAAACATGACTACATTTATCGTAAACTTATTGCTTTTGAAACTATCCCTATCAAATCTCTCAAACATTTGAGGGATATCCATATATTTTGTAAAAAAACTCTAAACTATCACCAAACCTTTTAGGTTCCATTACATTTTCTTTTCTTTATACCAATTCATAAGGAAATTGAGACCTAACGGCAACTCTTAAAAAAGGAGTGACCCAATTTTCCTACAAAGGATAAGAAATGAGTTAGGCTCAAACTCAACTATATATCACGAAAAAAGTGAAGTGGAAAATAAAGAAAAGCAAATGATAAAATATTTTTTATTTTTTAAAATAAGCAGATTTTAAAAGTTTGACCAAAAATATGTTTGTTAATAAGAAGCAAACTACGTTGTCTATCATGTTATCAAGTCGGAATATAGAACAAATATAGAATCCGAATATTAGATTTGAAGTTAAAGCATCAAAATTTAAAAACTTATTGATAAGAAGCATTTTAAGTTTTAACTCATTAGTGAATCTAGTTAACATGGATTAGAATTAATCGAATCATTAAACTAAATGATGAACAAAAAGAATCTGAATTGCTTTGAGATCAAGGGAAAAAATATTCTCTTGCAAAACCAACTAAGTCAAGCAATGTATTTTATGAAAATGACTTTGTTTTACTTTTTTCTTTCTTTTGTTCTTACACTTGTTATTGTATGAAAATGACTTCATTATTTTATTTTATTTTATTTTTGTCTCAAACTTAACAGAAAACGCACAAGTTGAAAATGTAAATTAACATATCAAATATTGAACAGACCAAAGAAAATTGTGTGCACCTACAATTTGGTACTAATTAAGATTATGGCCGTCGGGGTGTCAAAAGATGTTGAAAAACAGACTGAACCTAATCGAATCAATTCGATTTATGTTACATTTTCATTAAAATTGTATGTTTGCAACAAATTTTAAAGTGACAGAAAATAAATTGCAATCACAAGAAAATAAATACAATTTTGTTCCTCCTTTTAATTCTTCTCTCATAAGATTTATCCAATGATTCGAGGGTGTTAGTGGCGTATTTCTCGAA